CATACATACATCTGCTTTTGCTCAAGTTATATATTTTGTCTTTTTTCGATCTATATCCCCACTTCTACCCCTGTGCCTTCTAATTACATTTATGTATGTTATTCTGATTTCCTTTATCTTCATTTTTATCTTTATACTCTATCGATAACAAAATCGATAGTAACATCCAACAAAATATCGATAACAAAACCAATAAAAATATCTATAATCGATGACGAATTCGATAACAATTTCGATAGCAAAATCGATAATACTGGTAGCAAAATCGATTAGAAAATCGATAAAAATATCGATAGCAAAAATTGTTTAGAAAATCGATGAAAATATCGACAAAAAATTTATAAAAATATCAATAACAAAATCGATAAATAATCGATAACAAAAACGATTTCAACATCGATAACAGTATTGATAACAAAATCGACAAAAATATCGATAACAAATTCGATAAAAATATCGACAATAAAATCTACAACAATTTCGATAACAAAACCAATAACGATATCGATAAAGTACCGATAACAAAATCGTAAAAAATTTATAAAATCGACAACAAAATCCATAAAAATATCGATAACAAAATCGATAAAAAAATCAATTATATTGATAGGTTCCGAAGATATCGATAGCAAAATCGATAAAAATTTCGACAACAAAATCGATAACAAAAGCGATAAAAATAATGATTATTATTGTCTCGATAAGTCCCGAGAATACCGAAAATCTCTAAAATCCCAAAATAGTTCACTGATTGAGTTTCTTTTACCTTGTTTATACCGACACATAAAGCGCTTTGACCCAGTTCGCTGTGATTTCGAAACGGATGCATAAACTGAATTTGAAAAGGCGTTGAAATTGATAAGTGTATTGACTCGAATTTGTTTTCAAATCGGTTTTTTATTTCTCACATCGGTTACAAAACAGGTATAAACACATCACTCATTTGACGCGAAGTCTAAATAGGCTGATTTCCTTTAAATAGCCCGTTCTAAATTGTAATTATTATTACAATATACAGGTATAAACAAGGTATGCGTCTCCATCTATATCCTTTTCTCTGTAATTATCTTTATTTTAATCTTTCTTCCTCTATCTTCATCTTTACTTTTATCGGTATCCCGTCCCCATCTTTTTCTTTATATATATCTTTGTTTTTGTTTTTGTGTTTATACTTTTCTTCATCTACAGTGAAGGGGAATATCACTTAAGTGTTTAAATTTACCTTGGTCTTCATGCTTGCCTTTCTTTGTTTTTGTTTTTACTTTTGCCTTTGACTTTATCCTTGTCTTTATCTAGGTACGTACTCCCCTTTACTTTCATTCTTGTNCATACATACATCTGCTTTTGCTCAAGTTATATATTTTGTCTTTTTTCGATCTATATCCCCACTTCTACCCCTGTGCCTTCTAATTACATTTATGTATGTTATTCTGATTTCCTTTATCTTCATTTTTATCTTTATACTCTATCGATAACAAAATCGATAGTAACATCCAACAAAATATCGATAACAAAACCAATAAAAATATCTATAACAAAATCGATGACGAATTCGATAACAATTTCGATAGCAAAATCGATAATACTGGTAGCAAAATCGATTAGAAAATCGATAAAAATATCGATAGCAAAAATTGTTTAGAAAATCGATGAAAATATCGACAAAAAATTTATAAAAATATCAATAACAAAATCGATAAATAATCGATAACAAAAACGATTTCAACATCGATAACAGTATTGATAACAAAATCGACAAAAATATCGATAACAAATTCGATAAAAATATCGACAATAAAATCTACAACAATTTCGATAACAAAACCAATAACGATATCGATAAAGTACCGATAACAAAATCGTAAAAAATTTCGATTATAAAATCGACAACAAAATCCATAAAAATATCGATAACAAAATCGATAAAAAAATCAATTATATCGATAGGTTCCGAAGATATCGATAGCAAAATCGATAAAAATTTCGACAACAAAATCGATAACAAAAGCGATAAAAATAATGATTATTATTGTCTCGATAAGTCCCGAGAATACCGAAAATCTCTAAAATCCCAAAATAGTTCACTGATTGAGTTTCTTTTACCTTGTTTATACCGACACATAAAGCGCTTTGACCCAGTTCGCTGTGATTTCGAAACGGATGCATAAACTGAATTTGAAAAGGCGTTGAAATTGATAAGTGTATTGACTCGAATTTGTTTTCAAATCGGTTTTTTATTTCTCACATCGGTTACAAAACAGGTATAAACAAATCACTCATTTGACGCGAAATCTAAATAGGCTGATTTCCTTTAAACAGCCCCTTCTAAATTGTAATTGTTATTACAATATACAGGTATAATCAAGGTATGTGTCTCCATCTATATCCTTTTCTCTGTAATTATCTTTATTTTAATCTTTCTTCCTCTATCTTCATCTTTACTTTTATCGGTATCCCCGTCCCCATCTTTTTCTTTATATATATCTTTGTTTTTGTTTTTGTGTTTATACTTTTCTTCATCTACATATTCCCCTTCACTTAAGTGTTTAAATTTACCTTGGTCTTCATGCTTGCCTTTCTTTGTTTTTGTTTTTACTTTTGCCTTTGACTTTATCCTTGTCTTTATCTAGGTACGTACTCCCCTTTACTTTCATTCTTGTATTGGTCTTTTTCCAAGCGTTATTCTTTAACCTTTTATTAGCAAGTTTTCGGTAAATTAATCCCATATGCATNTTTTTCGATCTATATCCCCACTTCTACCCCTGTGCCTTCTAATTACATTTATGTATGTTATTCTGATTTCCTTTATCTTCATTTTTATCTTTATACTCTATCGATAACAAAATCGATAGTAACATCCAACAAAATATCGATAACAAAACCAATAAAAATATCTATAACAAAATCGATGACGAATTCGATAACAATTTCGATAGCAAAATCGATAATACTGGTAGCAAAATCGATTAGAAAATCGATAAAAATATCGATAGCAAAAATTGTTTAGAAAATCGATGAAAATATCGACAAAAAATTTATAAAAATATCAATAACAAAATCGATAAATAATCGATAACAAAAACGATTTCAACATCGATAACAGTATTGATAACAAAATCGACAAAAATATCGATAACAAATTCGATAAAAATATCGACAATAAAATCTACAACAATTTCGATAACAAAACCAATAACGATATCGATAAAGTACCGATAACAAAATCGTAAAAAATTTATAAAATCGACAACAAAATCCATAAAAATATCGATAACAAAATCGATAAAAAAATCAATTATATTGATAGGTTCCGAAGATATCGATAGCAAAATCGATAAAAATTTCGACAACAAAATCGATAACAAAAGCGATAAAAATAATGATTATTATTGTCTCGATAAGTCCCGAGAATACCGAAAATCTGTAAAATCCCAAAATAGTTCACTGATTGAGTTTCTTTTACCTTGTTTATACCGACACATAAAGCGCTTTGACCCAGTTCGCTGTGATTTCGAAACGGATGCATAAACTGAATTTGAAAAGGCGTTGAAATTGATAAGTGTATTGACTCGAATTTGTTTTCAAATCGGTTTTTTATTTCTCACATCGGTTACAAAACAGGTATAAACACATCACTCATTTGACGCGAAGTCTAAATAGGCTGATTTCCTTTAAATAGCCCGTTCTAAATTGTAATTATTATTACAATATACAGGTATAAACAAGGTATGCGTCTCCATCTATATCCTTTTCTCTGTAATTATCTTTATTTTAATCTTTCTTCCTCTATCTTCATCTTTACTTTTATCGGTATCCCCGTCCCCATCTTTTTCTTTATATATATCTTTGTTTTTGTTTTTGTGTTTATACTTTTCTTCATCTACATATTCCCCTTCACTTAAGTGTTTAAATTTACCTTGGTCTTCATGCTTGCCTTTCTTTGTTTTTGTTTTTACTTTTGCCTTTGACTTTATCCTTGTCTTTATCTAGGTACGTACTCCCCTTTACTTTCATTCTTGTATTGGTCTTTTTCCAAGCGTTATTCTTTAACCTTTTATTAGCAAGTTTTCGGTAAATTAATCCCATATGCATAAGCACTTGTTTCAGCCCCAACCATTTCCGTTGCATCATTTCCGTGTGCAATTTCCGTTGAATTTGCCAATTTACTCCCAACCAACCAACTGCCGCTAAAGAAGTTTCATTTCAAATATAGTTTGATTCCTTCAAAATAAGCAATTTTTTTATTGGTCTATCAATACGGATCTGGTACTAATTTTTGATGGGTCAGTTTTTTTTATACAGTCCTTATGTCAATGTTTTTTCTTCTCATTATTTTGCCGACTGTGGCACGAGTATGCTGTAGTAACACCTAATTTGTTTATTTAATTATTTTTTATAATATTATGATGTACATTTAAGTCTAAAACTTAAAGCTACTTTCATATAAAAACCATGGCCTGCTTAGGCCTTCAGCTACATACCTAATTTGTGGTAGTTACAGTAACATACAAATAGATTTCATAACTCATTTAGTTAACCTGGTTGTTTTATTTTAAATAATTTATTTATTTATTTATTTATTGCTCTGATATTTAACTCAGTTAAATAATAAAAAGTTTAGAATTATTATAGTAGAGCAGAGAATTTTTTCACAGATTGACAATGAATACAAAGACGAATAATGACTCGTAAACAAGGATTAACCTGCTGAATGCTATACATATAAATAATACTTGGCAAGCAATTAAATTTCAATGAAAGTGAATAAAATTAAAAAAAACAGGCCGACAATACATTTAGAACAAAAAATAAGCATATAACATACTTTTGCCCAAGCATAAAGGGCAAGTATGTATGTGGTAAACAAAAAAAAAATAAATATTATTTAGCAGTCTTGAAGACAAACTTAATTTTTGGGCAGGGTCAATGAATAGTAACACTACACACACAACATTCAATTAACAACCTCATAAACAATTAAATTAAGAATGTAAGCGGACACGCGAACTATATATGTATATGTACATTTGTACATAAAAAAGTCTGAGCGAGCTACAACTAAATATCGCAGTATCACAATTACATACATACAAGTATGTATATCATAGCCACTTTAGGGCCTCAACGAAACTATGCCTAATTGTATCCATACATGCATACATACGAGTACATATGTGGTGACCAAACCAACAATTTCATTCACAGTCCATAAAAGTATACTCTTTTATCAGCTAGGTGCCCTTTTTGACCCTTATCGGAAGAAGTTATTTGGAAGTGGCTGGTAGCGGACTAACACGTTCTACAAACAAGTAAGGGAATTTTGGAAGGTACCTTCGAACAAAATTTGTTTTGACCTTTTACATTTTTCAGTGACACCTGTGTACATTCGGCAATAGAATTCTTATTTTTGAAGTATGTAGTTCTACTCGAATAATCCAATTACTTCTTTCGCGAAAGTTGAATGATGAAGCTGCAGTTTACTGACATTAGGGTGGCAAGTTAGGTTGATAAGAACTCAGGTCTGTTAGTAAATAAGAATTCGCCTTGCAAAAATCATTCGAAGGTGTACAGCAAACTTTTTTCCCATTATTATTTTTTTATTAATTACTTATGTTTATCCATCAACCCTAAAATTTTGAAACAAATCAAACATATGAACGTGAACCCCGTCCATTTTAGAAAAAAAGATTTTTGTGTTTTCATCAGGGACGGTAACAGTTACAACTTTTATTAAAAAAATCGCCCTTTAAGAGTTATTTTTTCACTTTTATTTAATTACTCCTTAAATAACCGTTATTTCTGACTTTTATTTTATATATCCAAAATAACAATTATTTTTGATTCTTGTCTAAATAATTGCAAATAACAGTTATTTTTGATTTTTAAATTATATGTTTCAGATAACAGTTATCGAAGTCTTTTATTTATAAAAGTCATGAGTAAAAATCAGTCACT